TCCCTCCACGTTACCTTGCAATTCTGATCCCTCTGTGGAAGTTTAGCCAGGACATTTCATTCCCCTCCAGGTCACCACCCAGGGAGCCCTGGACTGGCAATTTCTTTTAATAAAGATTTACAGTATCAAACTTGGAAAAAAAATTATTTTTTTTTTACGAAAAATCTGTACGATAAAATGTATATAATTATATATTTATATATATATTTCTCTCTCTTTAAATATTTCCACGTGGTCCTTATGGATATCCAATATGGATTACCTACCATGGCTATGGTATCAACAGCTTTAACAACACCCAGGCCTCTTGTTCTTTATCGAGTGACCAGAGATTTAAGTGCCTACCAGCACTATACTAGCAATTACTTGGACAAGCCTTTGGCACCCTTCCAAGAACTGGAAAAAAAGAAATACTTGGCCGCAAGGGAAGTGCCACGTAAAGATATGTTTCTCAACTCACTCCAACAGCATGAAGACCCCACGGAACCAAGTCCGACCTCCGTCCCCCTCGGTGCAACTGGTCTGATTTCCCTGGCAGGGGGTCAAGGGCAGCCAGAGGGTGTTCCTATCTAGCCAGGAATGTCATGGAGCTCTGGAGCTGTTTTAAAGACTGGAAGCATTTGGGCATTTTCAAGTCAACTGGCCTTTTTCATCAAAGCTTTCGTTTAAAGCCCCAACAGTGCCAGCAGTCTCCATTTTGCCTGTTTTCAGAGGCACCTGTAAGGTCTGGGAAAGTTTCCAATGTCTGCGAGCTGGAGAACATGAGAGGACCAGGAAATGACAGTAACATCTTTCTCTTCCTCAGCTTCTGCTGTGGGAGTCAATAACTGGTACTGATACACAGGACGTTGATCTGCCTGTTCGGAGATAGGGAGGGAGTGGAGGAGAAATGAGGTAATGCTAAGTGTCATCCAAACTCTATGTGTTGGGGAAAAAAAAAAAACCACAAAACCCCTTGAAGGAAACTCCCTGCTCCCCTCCATAACACATAGATCTGGCAGGGGTAACGAGCCTTCAGGAAGCGTTTCACTTACACCCCTTCTGGCTCAGTAAGGTCACGGATGTCGATGTTGAGGACTGAACGAGAACCAAGTCTGAGGTTTCTCTTTTCATTAACCTATTTCACAAAGGACCCTCCTGGGAAATCCAGACACTCCTATGACAAGGTGAAAAAAAAAAAAAAAGGCAACCTAACAACTTCTTCCAAAGACAAGTAGGGCTTCACTAAAATTCTGCAAACTTACTGCCACTGAAGGCAAGACAAAGCCTCAAACAACAAATTATACTGGGTGTCAGATGCCAGCTTCCTGTCCCCTTTGCAACAGTGGTAGCACTTGATTATTCTCTTTCAGTCCAAAACACTTATGAATTCTCCGTGATCATTTTTTTCTGTTCTGGAGCCCAAATTCTCTAAGCTCTTCTCATCTTAAACTTCAGCAATCTCATTCTCTTCTCACTTGTGTCACAACAGGCATCGTCCGTTCCACAAGTTTCTGACCTGCCCTGCAAAACTCACAGTCCCTTTTCTTTCCTATTTGAAAAAGAAAACAGAAAAAAACAAACAACAACGAAACACACAAACACCAACATAGCTTTTTTTTTTTTTTTTTACAGTGACCTGGAAACATTCGTCTTTTCAGCGCTTCTGCGCAACAGCAGAATCTCTCCTTTCGGCTTCCCACCTCCTGCCCATTGCCAAACCAGCATTCCCTCTCCCAAACCACTGCTCAGAGCCCTACGAACGACTTCTCGATCCCAATTCTTCCGTCCCCTATACACACACCTGATTTTTCCATCTTGCCCTCCGTGTGCCTCTCAGGGATAATTCACCCACTCACAAGAGAAAAGTGTCAAGTTTCAGGGTCACATTCACACAGGTTGTCTGAACACTGAGGGTTGTTCACTACTCTTTGGATCCCAGCTTCAGCATCTGACCTGCTACGGAGAGGAAAAGATTCTTCCAGCTCCCATCTGACCTCCCCATAGCCCTTCTCTGGTCAAAGACTGGTGAGACCAGCTCTCCAGCTGGGATGTTCATCACTAACCTACCAATGCCTTTGTCAAAGAGGAGGCTCTACAACTTCTCTCCTCTCGTCTGAATGCTATTGCCCTCTAGTTACACTTCAGTGCTTTAAAAACATCTTTCCGAAACACTCTGCACAAACTCCTTCTCATAGTGCTGACCCCAGCAGAACCATCCCACCTTCTTGCAGCCAGTTCTGCCTCCACCTGCTAATACTTGCAGCATTTTTCCTCCTGCCTCCCCTTCTCTTCCCCATCACAGAGCTCTTCACAGCATTTACTGTGCCTCCTTCCCTTGAGCTTCAGGGAATCCAGAAAAAAAAAAAAAAGAAGAAAAAGCAGCTACTTCAAGACTGAGGATCATTTGGAAGAAATAAACTGCATAAATATACCCAATTCACAGGCACACCTTAGGGAAGGAGCTATCGGGAAACTTGGGCTTGGAGTAAAGGAGGCTGCAATGTAGTTTTTACAGGCCACACAGGTAACAGGGCATATTAAAATATGTAAAATATATATTTTTCCATATTTTAACAGCATGATTGAAAACAAAAGGTTATTCCTAATGGGTGTGGTCAGACCCAAGCATTAGTCTCCATCATCCTCCCACTCCCATCCACTCATAGCAGGATGAAATCTTACCCAAACCTATATCCCTGCCCTTGTAACACCAGATGGAAGCGGGGAAGGTAGCGGAGACCCTTCTTACAGGGAGTAGGGATCCCACTAAAGGAAACTCTTTTTTTCATACATTCATCTCACATGATGATTTCTACGGTCCATCTGTTTCCTGGCTCTTGAGCATCATCCACGAAGACCCCGGAGGCTCCTCAGGTATCTTCTCCCAGCTGGAAAGCTGTCCACGGCTGAGAAGGGCTTGGGGAGGCAGGGGGAAGAAGGAAGCAGATCTTGCAATTTGTACTGCATACAGAACTCAAATCCTGGACGCGAGGGGTTGATGGAGCCACCAAGTCCAGACAGAAGCAGCCAGTTAAGTTCCCTTTGTAGGCTTCTGGGTTTGTTTTCTTCTTTTCTTTTTTTTCTATTTTTTGCACTTTTGGAAGAGAATTGTTAAAATGCCGATTCTTGACATGACCAAGGACTCCGGAACAACGCTTGAGAGCCTTATCCCCTCTCCCCTCCGAAAGGCTGCTAGTTCCCCGCACTGAGGGCACTAGGACGCTGCTGAAAACGGCACAGAACTGGATGAGATTTCGGCTGATTTCACGATGGTGATGACACTGGTGGTGGCAACTTTGGTCGGGGTAATAGGCCCTCGCGCCACAGTACGAGCAAAGGTCTGGAGTGCTTCGTACTTGGAGCGCAAGGCGTCCAGCTCTAGCTTCATGCTGCTGTTTTCTCTGGCCAGCTTCTCCACCTCTTGCTGCAGCTCAACCCGCTGCCTCTCGAGCTCCTCTTTCTGAGTCACGCGCTTGATGCGGCAGCTGGCAGCGTAGCCCCGGTTCTTCAGCGTGCGTCTCCGCTGCTTCAGACGGATGACCTCCTCTTTGGTGAGACCCCTCAGGTGCTGGTTCAGCTCCCGTACGGACATTGACACGAGTTCATCATCACTCAGCACTGGGGCATTCTCTCCCGACTCCTCCTTTACCTGCAAATACCAACAGCACAGGGGTAGTGGCAACCCTACACCAACAGATGTTTTGGACAGCCAGGAGAGACAGGCCACCCCTCAGCAACGTGACACCCCAACCTGGAAAACACCCCCAAAGCACTGCAGAGAGCACACGCTCCACTGAAACAGCTGGTTAACACGGCAGAGGGCTGTGCGCTGCCGTTGTCTGAGTTTGGGCAACCCTCTGAAGTCAGAGAATGCAGTGAGCCTTACACATCCCGTGTGAACTGAACAGCAAGTTTTTAAGGAGGTAAATGTAAAGCTGACTGAAGCCCTCTGTGTTCCTCTGTCAGGACCCAGAATTCACACGGGATGCTAAAGATGACACCTTTTCTCAGCATCATGCTCGGACACTGGCGCAGCATCTCAAAAGCAGAAGAGCCACTTGTCTGCAGGGTTTAATTCAGTATTTTGTGGCTTTTTGTTGAAAACTGCTCATCCAAGCAGCGAACAAAACCAACCCTGCTCGCCTTCAAGGACCACAGCATGATTTAGTTTTCCTGGTGCCCAGGACAGACTCTGAAGTAACATGAGAAAGACACCAAGGCCCCGTGCACTTTTCTCAGGCAGGTTTCCTGCCACAGTTACCGTCGAAATCATAGAATCGTAGAATGATCTGGGCTGGAAGATAATCTAGTTCCAGGCCCCCAGCCATGGCAGGGACATCTCCCACTAGCTCAGGTTGCTCAAGGCTCCATCCAGTCTGGCCTTGAACACTTCCAGGGATGGAGCATCCACAACCTCCCTGTATCTCACCACCCTCAGGATAAAGAACTTCTTCCTTATATCTAGTCTAAACCTATGCTCTTCCAGCTTCCACCCATTACCCCTCATCCTAGCACCACAGGCCCTTGTAAAAAGCCCCTCCGCGGCCTTCTTGTAGGCCCCCTCCAGGTACTGGCAGGCCGCTATAAGGTCCCCCTGGAGCCTTCTCTTCTGAGGCTGAACAAGCCCAACTCTCTCAGTCTGTCCGCACAGCAGAGGTGTTCTAGCCCTCTGACCATCTTGGTAGCCCTCCTCTGGACTCGCTCCAAGAGCTCCATGGAATCATCTACTCTTCTAGAATCATCTAGGTTGGAAAAGACTTTTACGATCGAGTCCAGAACCTTTAAGACATCATTCTTTTGTCTCTTCAGAGACTGCAGGACATCTGGAATGAAGAGCTAAGACACCAGAAAGAAATTGCGACAATGCATGCACTATCTATCCACCAACTACCATCAAGCCAGTATGTCCGGGGCATTTACTGTGTCATGGATCTGAGAGACACCAGCTGAACATTTCCCTTCCCCAGTGCTTCCCAGTCCTGAGAGGAGAAGTACTTCACTGACAGGCCTGCGAGCACTGGTTTCAGGATGCTGCCAATACCTGCTATACTCAAAAGCCTCTCGGACAGCAACTGGGATACGCTAGCCTCTGTGCCATCCCAGAGACTTTGGACTTTTTTGGGGGGTATTTCTGGCATTTTTCTACCCTACCCTTTCCACTAGATAGCAGAAAATTGCATTGGCACCCATATGTAGGATTGTCTTAGAATGAAGAAGAACAGTCACGTCTGACTGACATCGCACAGAACACGGTTCTGCAACAGCCTCCCCTGCCCCTCCCAACCACCCAACTCGGCTTTCTTCCCTACCTTTAACGCCTTGTTCGGTTTGGGATTAGTCGTCATAACCTGAGCACAGTCTTCTGGACAAAACTGCTCAGAAATTGCAACTGGAAAAACAAAACAAGATTTTCAGGTTACAGTAATCTCAGAGACGAAGGTAGGAAGAAGATACCCAACGCCCGGTCCAAACCCCCAACTTAACCACCACTAAAAGAAATGAACATACAGTCGTTTAAAACAGCGGGATGGATTCAGAGATCGGCTTACCCCACACAGATACAAGAAAGAGAAATCCGTGTCAACGAGCGCATCGCTTTTCAATGCCAAAGACCTCGTATTTTGCTACGGAACTACACTGAGATCCATCAGGCAAGACAGCGCAGGGAGGGGGGGAAAGGACACCAGCTCCCGTCTGTAAACACCAGTTATCGTTTAAAACAGCGGGATGGATTCAGAGATCGGCTTACCCCACACAGATACAAGAAAGAGAAATCCGTGTCAACGAGCGCATCGCTTTTCAATGCCAAAGACCTCGTATTTTGCTACGGAACTACACTGAGATCCATCAGGCAAGACAGCGCAGGGAGGGGGGGAAAGGACACCAGCTCCCGTCTGTAAACACCAGTTACGCTGAGCACCATACCCCGCCTCGCAATCCCCCTTCCCCAAGGGAGCGCGGTCAGCAGCCTCCCAGGCCCCGTCATCCGTTCACCTCCCTCCGGAGGAATCCCAGACGCTCAGAATGGCCTATTAGGGACTGAATTAAGAGTTACCTCTGCTCATAAAAGGCACTGAAAAGCCACAAGACAGCAACTCCCTTCATTCTTATTTTGCTTATTATTATAACCTGGCTCAGAATTGAATCAGCAACCCAGGAAGAAGCTGCCTGGTTCGCAACCTGCTTTCAGCGCCGTCCCCACCCAAAGGCGACGCTACCAGAAAACCCAAACAACAGAAACAAAAGCCCCCCCCTCCCCAACCCCCGATAACAAAGCAAGGCAGGAGTTTGCCTCTCCCAACGCACCAAGACTGTTACTTCCCAATCCTCTTGGCCCTAGGCTGCCAGAGCTGACCTGCCCGATATTTCTAGTGACGTGGAGGCATATCCACCGCCAGAGAAGACCATCCCCTGCCGAGACACTGCCCTTCACTCTCACCTTAAGCCAGCGACTACACCCCTTCGACCGGCACCTCACAGAAAATCCACCTGCCCGCACCTCCGCCCAAATCCTTCACCCCGCGGGATGACGGCGGGGGCCTCACGCCAGAGAGGCGGAAGGCGC